CTGAGGCATTCATTTCAAAGACACGCACCTCAAACATTTTGTGGAACACAGTTACTAGTTAAACAAATAGATAAGGAGACAGGCTGCCCCCACCCAAGAAGTCCCTCCCCCACTTTTTTCTTTTAGCCCAGCGGCTTGTGAGATCTTAGTTCTCTGACCAGGGATTGAACCTGCCTCTTCGGCAGTGAAAGTGCAGAGTCCTAACTGCTAGACCCCCAGGGAATTCCCCAAAATTCCCCTTTTAGAAAGTCCTGGGTAACCTACATAACTGACTGCTTGAGTGACCCCACTTTTCCCTTCCTGTGTCCTAATTCTGGCTCTTCTGTTTTAAATTTGCCAATAAAGAGTGAACCTGTGAAACCCTAGGCACCTCATCCTCAACCCCAATAAAGGCAAAACCCCAGATGCATGCTCTCTCTCTCTCTACCTGTGACCTTGCTGTGTGGCCCCAGACGTGCCAGGTACCCTCCAGGACTTGTAATAAACCTTTTCTTTTCCCCCCAAAGTTCCCTAATGGTTGTTGCTGAGGTGTATCTTGCAATCACAAGGACTAGTCCATCCACGACACTGGCTCCAGTTGGGGAAACGTCTGGGGTGTGGGGGGCTCCCACTGGTAGTACAGGCCCCCCAGGCACTCCTAGCCAATAGCATCACTATCGATGATAGGCTGAGACTGACACAAAACAGTCACCCAACAGAGGAGCCCTGTGACTCCAAGGACCAGGCCTCCCTCAGTATCCTTGCTGTGCTCAGTCATTGGCTGGGAGCCCATGGAAAGCACAGCCTTTGCACTAGCACTCGATGGGTTTCAGAGCACAGCTGGGGCGATTGGGCAATTGTGCTCCCCACAGTAGGAGGCCTGAGAGACATGTTTTGAAGCCACTACAGTCTACCCCTTGCACCACATACATTTACTTCTCCACACAGGTTCAGAGATAGTTCCATGGGCCTCGCTTCCTGAGTGGAACCTAAGAAAAGGGATGCTACTAGAATAAACCATAACCTCCATTGCTTTGGTTGATCCGTGACTCAGGGCTGCAGTTGGTATTCATCTTCTTCCACCATCCATCCTAAACTCACCTGAGTCTCAGCTCTTACCTCAGCAGGTCTTGATAGCATAACCCAAACCTTATTGCTGAGGGTCGTGAACCCTTGGTGTGTTAACTCTTTTCATGCCAGGGGTAATTCATGTGTCCATTCTCAGTTGCAGTGGGCAATGGAGTGCCAGGAGGCTCCCAAGCAGCTCACCTGGGTTCTGCACGTGTTGTCCCATCCCCATTGTGAACATTGGGGTGCATGTGTCTTTTTGTTGTTGTTGTGGTACGCGGGCCTCTCAGTGTCGGTAACTAAGATCCCGCATGCTGTGTGGTGCGGCCAAAAAATAAAGAGGATCAGAAACACTTCTCATTCTCATGGAACTGACAATAATATTCATTTAGTTTTACGTTGGGGCTATGTTAACTCTCCTGCCCTCTGTTATAATACTAGTCTGAAGAGATCTGGATCATCGGAACAGCCCACAGATGTGACACTGATCTGTTACACTGATATCATGCTGATCAGACAGGACATGTAGAGAGGGCTCTGAAGCAGGTCCTGGCTGCAGAGCAAACCGTGCGAAAAATTCTTCAAACCTGCTGGTCCCTGTGCACAAGAAGGTCAAAGTACCCATGTGGTAGCCACAACTTATAATTCAATGGAACCCTTTCTGTGTCCCCTGGGAAAAGCATGTCCTCTTTGAGGACCAGGGTCTCCAACATTGCAGAGCTCAGAGTTGCAGGAATGGGAAGCACAATATTCTCCCAGTGAGTCATTGGGAGTAAGTGGGTTGGCTTATCACAGAGTATTTCCTCCAAGCTGGTACCTCAGCTATGCTTGTAGAAGGCTGTTCCAGCATTCTGTGATGCTGGATGTCTCTGGATGGTGCAGTAGGTGGTATATCCATGGGATCCCAAGGCCATGGGCCTACTCCTACACCTCCCTGCATGTAAAACAGGTCCCTGGTTGAAGGCTATGATACGTGGGATTCCATGCTTGTAGATCAGGCATTCCATAGGCTGCTGAATAGTGGCTCTGGCTGAGTCTGCAGGCAGACAAGGCAGACCCTTGCCCAGGTTAGGTATCTCTCTCTCTCAGGACAAACTGGTGACATTTCCAGGACAGAAAGGCCCACTGTAGCTGAATTGTCAAGTGGCCAGTTGGTCTCCTCAAGGAGTAGTGGCATACTGGGGGCTCAGTGTTTTCTCTATTTCTCTCATCCAGCCATATGCCTCTACCTCAGATCTCCTTATCTCTACATTCTAGTCCTTTTCCTTCCAGGTCCCCTTCCAGACAGCCAGACCACTGACCACTGCTCAGGAACCTATCTGTATTTTCAACTTAGGTCACTTTTCCTTCCATAAAAAGCGGATGACTGCTTGCAGCTCCACCTATTGGGAAGATTTTCCATCTCCACTGTCTTTCAAGACCAACTCTGAAAGTGGCTGCTATGTAGCTGTGGTCTATTTTTGCTTTGCACCTGTGCACTGAGCCAACCTGTCCATAAACCAAGCTTGAGTCTTTTCCTCCTCGTTTTCAGCTAGTCATGTGGGACCTCCATACAGGCTTAGGGGCAAACAGGGAAGGGATTTTGGAGCAACTGTTGTGTGCAATAGGGGTCCTAGGCTACTCGCTCATGCAGCTTACTTGTGCCCTCTGGTCCCAGGAGGGCTTGATTATATTTACAATGACCTCTGCTGGGCCCATTTACTTTTATTCCTCACTGGGTCCAAAATAACCCAACTCATAATTGGAAGTTCTGAACTTGGTCACTTGATGACAAATGGCCAACTGTTTTATACCAGGGCTCAGTAACAAGCCTGCAGGTATTTCTTCAATGGTGTACACTTCTCTGCAGTAGGTGGCATGACCTTGCCCAAGAATTCCAGAGTTCTGCATTGTGATTCTCCCACTGGGGCTTGCCATAAGCTCTATACTGAATCTTTCCCTCCGCTGACTCCACCAACACCATAGGGTCTGCTGGATCCGATGGTCCAAGTGAGGCACGGTTTGCTCTGCAGCCAGGACCTGCTTCAGAGCCCTCTCTACATGTCCTGTCTGATCAGCATGATATCAGTGTAACAGATCAGTGTCACATCTGTGGGCTGTTCTGATGATCCAGATCTCTTCAGACTAGTATTATAACAGAGGGCAGGAGAGTTAACATAGCCCCAACGTAAAACTAAATGAATATTATTGTCAGTTCCATGAGAATGAGAAGTGTTTCTAATCCTCTTTATTTTTTGGCCGCACCACGCAGCATGCAGGATCTTAGTTACCAGACCAGGGATCGAACCCGGGCCCCCTGCATTGGAAGCGTGGAGTCTTAACCACTGGACCGCCAGGGAAGTCCTGATCCTCTTTTCTAAGTGGAATGTAAAAGAATGAACTTGCTAAATCAATGGCAACAAACCATATACCTCAAGCCTTATTAATCTGCTCTAGCAATGAAACAATTTCAAGCGCATCAATTGTGATCAGGGCTATTACTTGCTTGAGTGCACAGTAATCTATAGTCATTCTCCAGAATCAATCCAGTTTCTGCAGGCACCAGACTGATGAATTAAACAGAGATGTGATAGAGACCACCACCTCTGCACCTTTTATAACTTTCATGGTGGCACCAATCTTTGCCATCCTTCCTTCTCTCCTGCCCCACTTCTGGAACACTCCTTGGTCTTCTGCTGGGAGCACCACATGACCCTGGTTTTCCTCACACCTCTCTGGCAAGTTCATTCAAAGTTCTGCCAGCTCACCTTCCCCTAGCTGGTTTTCATTTCATTTCATTTTTCGCTGTTTGTAGAATCACTAGGTTTTTACTTTACTTTAGCTTTAATTGAAAGTACATAATAAAATGCACATTGTTCAAAACAAGCACTAGCCAGTGTTTAATGTCTGTATTTACCTTTAAAGGGTGAGTTCTATCACTACAACTTTGGGTCAGGTCACATTCACAGGGCCTCAAATTCAAAATTTTGAGGCAGTGTCTTCCCTGGTGGCGCAGTGGTTGAGAGTCCGCCTGCCAATGCAGGGGACACGGGTTCGTGCCCCGGTCAGGGAAGATCCCACGTGCCACGGAGCAGCTAGGCCCGTGAGCCATGGCTGCTAAGCCTGCGCGTCCGGAGCCTGTGCTCAGCAACGGGAGAGGCCACAGCTGTGAGAGGCCCGCGTACCAAAAAAAAAAAAAAAATGAGGCAATCTTGTGACTTCCCTGGTGGTCCAGTGGTAAAAAGTCCACCTTACAATGCAGGGGACACAGGTTCAATCCCTGGTCGGGGAACTAAGATCCCACACGCTGAGGGGCAACTAAGCCGGTGCGCCACAACTATGGAGCTCTCGCGCCTCATCTAGAGCCCATGTACCGCCAACTACAGAGCCTACACGCTCTGGAACCAGAGCGCCACAACTAGAGAGAGAAAAACCCTCATGCCGGAACTAGCGAGAAGCCCACGCACCACGACCGGGGAGCCTGTGAGTTACAACGAAAGATCCCCCATGCCTCAGTGAAGATCCCATGTGCCGCAGCAGTCAAAAATAACTTAAATAATTAATAAATAAATAAAAATTTGAGGCAATCTCCAAATGGAGTTTAGAGGCCTGAAAGAAGAAAACATCAAATTTTACAAATTTTACCTGCTTCCCAGACCACACCACTTGGTGTGAATATTTGTATAAATTTGTAATTATTCTTTGAGGAACACACTACGAAATTTGTGTATACATATTAAAAGCTCAAAACGTCTTAAATGTGCATTTTAAATATACCACGAGTTCTGTAATTCTGCTTGGTCTTTCGTCATTTTTCAACCCTCCGCTAAGGCTCAGAAAATATAAGTGGCCTCTCGAGTCTCTCCACCCCTGTGAAGAAAAAAGTCTGCTTTTGCTCTGTTTATCCCGGTAACAGCGAATGGACAAACGTAAAAGCCAATAGCCACCGGCGAAGCGCGCCCAGCTTCACTTACCGCCGAGGCGGCCTCTCAGACAAGGGAGACTCGTACTCCCACACCTCTGAGTGCTTCTCTCCTCTGCATCCCAGAAGGCGCTGCGTCGCCTCTAAGTCTTCCGCCCCCTTCCATCCCAACAGGCAACGGGGCTTATAACGTCAAACGCTCGTCATCAGGATGATTATAGAAATGCCTGAATATACGCCCATGCTTAAACATTAAAAATGTCTGTAACAGGCTCACCGATGAGAAAGAGCCCAAAAGATATGTCTTAGCGATTTTTTTTCAGAGGATTTAGTTTTAATCTCCAGGAGAAAAATTCCATCTTTCAGTAGACTCGCTCAGGCACCTCCTTGGACAGCACGCGCAGGCCGGCGGCTCGGGGGCCTCGGGGCCCTAGGCAGGGCAAGTGCGAGAGGAACTGGTGGTGTCTACGCGGTGCTTGTAGATTCTTCTGCGTGGAGCCATGGGAGGCCTGGAGAAGAAGAAGGTGATGGGCGAGAGGCCAGGGCGGGTCTGGGGCAAGGGGGACGGGGGTGCCTCAGGAGGTAGGAGACGGGAGCGATGGAGCCCGGGGACTGCGCCTTTCTCCGGCCTTGGATCCTCGTGGGTGCAGAAGCGGCTGGGATCAACGCGACAGGAGACAGCAGGCAGAAGGGGTTCGAGGATGGGCGAGGACGGCAGTACTTGTTCTGTAAAATAGGGGAAAGAACCCTGGAGTAGAGCTGTGAAAGAGCGTTGAGGTTACCAAGCAGAGCTGCACCCCAAAACAGGCCGAGCCGGAGGATAACTTTACTGAAAGTGATGAACATTACGTAGAGCTCACCATTATTTCGAGCTCATCATCTCTAAAACTTGTGACTCCCTTTTCTGCTGAATCAGGCTTTGTCCTGGACATTGGGGATGGGAGATATAATCAACTAGTTGTGGTCCCTGCATTCGTGGAGCTCACTTTCTAGTGGGGAAGCTGGACACTAAAGTAAATAACCAAATAAAATGATCACAAACAAGCCTGGCAGCGGAAACTAAGTGCCAAGGCCTTCGGGTGGAAAAGGCTTGCTGTGTGCAAGGAATTAAAGGATATCAGCTTGGCTGGGGTATAGTAAACCAAGAGGAGAGTGGCATCTGGTGAAGTTGCGGTTGGACAGGGACCAGGTCACGCAAGGCCTGTCAGGCACAGTGAGGAGACTGATTTTATTCAAAAAGCAGTAAGAATCAATTGAGGGGGGAGTAATATCTGTTTTTTAAGGAGTTGTTCTTGTTGCTGTATGGAGAATCACCTTGATGGCATGAAGAGATTAGAGAGGGGATGGGGATGAGGATGAGGAAGATGTAGTTGCCTCGATTGTTTCTGTCAGCTGGAAAGTTCCTGCTGCCAATCTGTTTTTAATCCAGCTGTTGAGCTAAGTGCTAGTGATTGGAACTACAAAGATGTAACATTGAAAACCTGACTTTGAGGTACAGGTGCAGATATGTAAACAAATCATGACAGTTTTTGTCGTTGTTGTTTGTTTGTTTTGTTTTGGCCACGCCCAGCGTCTTGCGGGATGGAACCCGGGCCCGTTCAATGGAAGCTTGGAGTCCTAACCACTGGACCACCAGGGAAGTCCCAACAACTCATGACAGTTTTTAAAGCAGGGTTTCACAACCGTTTTGACATTTTGAGCCAGATAACTGTTGTGGGGAGGGTTGTCCTGTGAGTTGTGGGATGTTTAGCAGCATTCCTGGCCTCTTACCCCCTAGGTGCCAATAGCATCTAACAGCCCAAAATGCTGAATACACCGCCATACATCCAGGGAGTAAAGTCACCCCAGTTGACTTTAATTATCCCCTTAATGTTTGAAAGAATAAGAATGGTGACAGTGTAGGGCAATAGAAAACAATTTTAATGAAAGAATGAAAGCAACTTCCCTAAGACAGTCTAAAAGTCATCTTTGTACCCTCAGAACTTGGCGCGGGCCTGATCCCCAGTAGACAATGTCTAAAGGGAAGAATGAATGAAGGGCATGTTTCGTGACTGTGGGATTATTCATAAACATACCCCTCAGAAGGCTACAGGTTTGTCCCTTTAGAGCTGGACCTGGCCATTGAGGCCTATGCTGTCTTAATCCAGAGGAAGACCTCGTTTGGGAAGGACGTGCTTGGTTAGCATTGCAGGGAGCTGGTACAGTGCACTGCTGCTCTATCAGGGATACAGACGTGTGAGTGTGAGGCAGCGTCTTAGCACCACAGATGTCCAGATGGTTGCACAACACAACATGCTCTTTGGGTGCAGGTAGAGACCAGGCCTTTTGTCTTCATTACCTCCTAACATCTAGCTAAACACTTGGAACATAGTAGAGGTCTTGTGATTGTCTGTTGAATGAATGAGGAAGGAGAGAGGCTGTGTGGCTTAGAGTGTGCATTTTCAACTGGATGGTGTCATGCCGAAGGGAACAGAAATTGGTTGGGGGACATCTTAGACATTACAATGATGTGTAGCCCTCAGAAGGACCACATTACAGAAACATCTACAGTGTACCTGTGGTATTAACATTTTGTGGGGCTGTGAGAGAGGGTGATTAAAGGGGAGAAAAGGTCTAAAAAGGCCTCTGGTGGTGGAGGGGTGGTTATAATGAAAAAGAAGTTGAGAACACTGGCTTAGTGGATGAGGCACTCAGGTTCTGGACTTGGACCTAGGTCTGAATCCAGCCCCAGCTCTTAAAAAGCTATGTGATCTGGGCAGGTTATTTTACTGAGCCTGTTTTCCTCCCTTGTGAAATGAGAATTTTAATGGCACCCACCTCACAGTGTTGTGGGGATTAAATGAATAATGTGTGCAAATCAGTAATCATAATGGTCAGTACTTACAGCCACTACTAAGTGCTTGGCATAGCACCTGATCCACAGCAACCTCATGGTCCTGCATCGTGCAGATGTGTGTGTCCTCCTCTGTGCTGACAACTGCAGGGACAGTGCAGGAGCGCTCCGTCCCCACAGCCTCTTGGCCATTTATCCAGAGTAATAGTCGCCTCTTGCATGAGCAATGTCCAGAGGTTGCTCTCCGTCATTGTAATCATTGCTAATGGAGAATTGATTTTATCCTCCCCAAGTATGAACGAGGCGCTGCTACCAACTACATCACCCGAAACAAAGCCCGGAAGAAGCTGCAACTGAGCCTGGCCGACTTCAGGTGAGGTTGGAGAGGAGAGGGGGACTTCGGGTGCCTGGCCAGTGAAAACTCAGCCACATCCCTCTCTTAACTGCACTGCTGCAAACTCTGTCTGGGATTCTGCTATTCCTTCTCTTTCTTGCCTGGCTTTGCTTTAGTGAGCTGTGCTTTGCCAGGTGTGGTCCACAGGGAAGCTGGAGAACTGGGTCATGTCACCCTGAGTCATCAAAATGGGCCCACTGGTGCAATGCACTGCTGCTCTCTTATCTGGGTCTTTGTCACCCATCCTCTCCCTTCTGGCAGTAGTGACCCCTGATCCTGCAGCTTGTGGTTCTCAGCTCCTTGGAGAGTCCAGTCCAGACTCTTCCACAGCCTGCGTCCTGCTGCCTGGCTCACTTTTCATCTTCCAAACGCACCCAGCACTTCCCACTCTTACAGCCGCTGTCCTTCTTAAGATTCTCTTCCCTCTGCCCTTTATAGGCAGACCTTGGAGATATTGTGGATTCAGATTCACACCATTGCAATAAAATGAATATCACAATGAAGCGGTTTCCCAGTGCATATAAAAGTTACATTTACACTCTACTGTAGTCTGTTAAGTGTGCAGTAGTTTTATGTCTAAAAGAAATGAACATGCATTAATTTAAAATACTTCATTGCTAAAAAATGCTAATCATTATCTGAGCATTCAGTGAGTGGTAAGCTTTTTGCTGGTGGAGGGTCTTGCCTCGATGTTGACGGCTGCCGACTGATCAAGGAGGTGGTTGCTGAAGGCTGGGCTGGCTGTGACAGTTTCTTTTTTTTTTTTTTTTTTGCGGTACGCGGGCCTCTCACTGTTGTGACCCCTCCCGTTGCGGAGCACAGGCTCAGCAGCCATGGCTCACGGGCCTAGCCGCTCCATGGCATGTGGGATCTTCCCGAACCCGGGCACGAACCCGTGTCCCCTGCATCGGCAGGCGGACTCTCAACCAGTGCACCACCAGGGAAGCCCTGTGACAGTTTCTTAAAATAAGACCACAGTGAGGTTTGCCACGTTGATTGACTCTTCCTTTCGTGAATCATTTCTCTGTAGCACACAGTGCTATTTGACAGCATTTTACCCACAGTAGAACTTCTGTCAGAATTGGAGTCGATCCTGTCAGACTCTGCTGCTGTTTTATCAACTAAATTTATGTAATATTCTAAATCCTTTGTTGTCATTTCAGCAATTTCCACAGTAGATTCCATCTCAAGAAACCGCTGTCTTCACTCATTTATAAGAAGTACTCCTCATCTGTTAAAGTTTTATCATGAGATGGCAGCAATCCAGTCACACCTTCAGGGTCCACTTCTAATTCTAGTTCTCTTGCTGTTTCCACCACATCTGCAGTTACTTCCTCCACTGAAGTCTTGAACCCCTCAAAGTCATCCATGAGGGTTGGAAGCAACTTCTTCCAAACTCCTGTTAATGTTGATATTTTTATCTCTTCTGAATCACGAAAATTCTTAACGGCATCTAGAAGGGTAAATCCTTTCCAGAAGGTTTTCAATTTACTTTGCCCAGATCCATCAGAGGAATCACTGTCTATGGTGGCTATAGCCTTATGAAATGTATTTCTTAATAAGACCTGAAAGTCAGAATTAGTCCTTGATCCATTGGCTGCATAATGGATGTTTTGTTAGCAGGCATGAAAACATTAATCTCATTGTACATCTCCATCAGAGCTCTTGGATGACCAGGTGCATTGTCAATGAGCAGTAATATTTTGAAAAAACAAAAAACTTTTTTCTGAGCAGTAGGTCTCCAGGGTGGGCTTAAAATAGTCATTGACCATGTTTTTTGTTTTGTTTTTTTAAATTTATTATTTATTTTTGGCTGCTTTGGGTCTTCATTGATGCTCATGCTTTCTCTAGTTGCGGCGAGCAGGGGCTACTCTTTATTGCAGTGTGTGGGCGTCTCATTGCGGTGGCTTCTCTTGTTGCGGAGCACGGACTCTAGGTGCACGGGCTTCAGTAGTTGTGGCTCACGGGCTCTAGAGCGCAGTCTCAGTAGTTGGTGGCGCATGGACTTAGTTGCTCCACGGCACGTGGGATCTTCCTGGACCAGGGCTCGAACCCGTGTCCCCTGCATTGGCAGGTGGATTCTTAACCACTGCACCACCAGGGAAGCCCCTGACGTTGTTTTTTGTAAACAGATGTGCTGTTATCCAGGCTTTGTTGTTCCATTTATAGAGCACAGGCAGAGTAGATTTTAGCATAATTCTTAAGGGCCCCAGGATTTTCAGAATGGTGAATGAGCATTGGCTTCACCTTAAAGTCACCAGCTGTGTTATCCCATAACAAGAGAGTCAGCCTGTCCTTTGAAATTTTGAAGCCAGGCATTGACTTCTCTCTAGCTAGGAAAGTGCTAGTAGGCATCTTCTTCTAATATAAGGCTGTTTCATCAACATCGAAAATCTGTTGTTTAGTTCATTATCTTAACTAGATCTGGATAACTTGCTTCAGCTTCTACATCAGCACTTGCTGCCTCACCTTGTACTTTCATGTCCTGGAGATTGCTTCTTTCCTTAAAGCTCATGAACCATCCTCTGCTAGCTTCAGAGTTCATCCTGCAGCTTCCTTACTTCTGTCAGCCTTCATAGAATTGAAGAGAGTTAGAGTCTTGCTCTGGATTAAGCTTTGGCTTAAGGGAATGTTGTGGCTGGTTTGATCTTCTGTCCAGACCACTAAAACTTTATATCAGCAATAAGGCTGTTTTGCTTTCTTATCGTTTATGTGTTCACGGGAGTAGCTCTTTTAATTTCCTTCAAGGGCTTTTCCTTTGCATTCACAACTTGGCTGGCTGCGGTGCAAGAAACCTAGCTTTCGACCTGTCTTGGCTTTCACCATGCCTTCCTCACTAAGCTTAATCATTTCTAGCTTTTGATTTAAAGTGAGAGATGTGGGACTCTTCCTTTCACTTGAACACTTAGAGGCCACTGTAGGGTTATTTGTTGACCTCATATCAATATTGTGTCCCAGGGAGTAGAGAGGCCTGAGTAGAGGGAGAGAGACTGGGGAATGGCAGGTCGGGTGGAGCAGTCAGAACACACACAACATTTATTGATGAAGTTCACCATCTTGTATGGGTGCTATTCGTGGTGCCCCCAAAATGATTACAATAGCAACATCAAAGATCACTGATCACAGATCGCTATAACATATAATAATGATGAAATAGTTTGGAAATATTGTGAGAATTCCAAAAATGTGACACAGAGACATGAAGGTGAGCAAATGTTGGAAAAATGGCGCCGATAGACTTGCTCAATGCAGGGTTGCACAAACCTTCAATTTGTTTAAAAAAAAAAAAAGAAAATGCAATTACCTGCAAAGTGCAATAAAGTGAAATTCAATAAAATGAGGTATACCTCCATGTGGCTGAAATGTTGATTTGTCAGCAAGGCCTTTCCTGACTCTCCTTGCTAAAAGAGGTACCTACCAGTTGGCCCCTGTCAATATCCTGATTGTTTCCTTTCTGGTGCTTGGGACTGTCTGCACTATGTTTGTCGGGAACTTGTCACTGTCGGACTCCTGCACTAGAAAGTGAGTTTTCCAAAGGGCAGGGCTCCTGTGTTCTCTGTTCACTGCAGTTTTCCAGGCCCAGCGTGCCCAGTGCTCAGCACGTTTGCTGATAGAAGGAGTGGCCTTTGTCTTCCAGGCGGCTGTGCATCCTGAAGGGCATTTATCCCCATGAACCCAAACACAAGAAGAAGGTCAACAAGGGCTCCACGGCAGCCCGAACCTTTTACCTTATCAAAGACATCAGATTCCTCCTCCATGAACCCATTGTCAACAAGTTCCGGGAGTACAAGGTGAGGCCTGGGCTCTAGGGTCTGGATGGGGCCCTTCCCAGCTCTATGCAGACCCACTAACACTGACCTTGGGCAAATCGTTTGATCTCTCTGAGCAAGCCTGTACATAGGGTGAGGTAATTCTACCTCAAAAGGGTGTCAGGGGGATTGACTGAGATCTTAGGTGTGGAAATCATTTACATAGAACCTGACCAATGATTAATGCATTACCTGTCATACTTTTCCCCTGGTTCTTTTGGAGAAGGGTAAATGTATTGCCTCTGAGGCAAAGATTGTGGTCTTTCAGGGGCTCTCTGGTGTGTTTTCTGCCCAAATAAACCACTCCTATTCAGGTTCTTTCTGGAATTGTTCCCAGGAGACCAAGCTTTTCATTCCTCAAATAGAAACGATTAAATGCTTAAATACTGCAGGGAAAGAAGAAACTTAATTATACCAAATGCAAATAATTGAAAGTAGACTGCTGTTACTGTAGCCTTTGCCGAGCAGCAGGGCCAGGCTGTGGGGTACAGCTGCTGGTAGCCCTCTCGCCAGAGCTGGCCGAGGTGGGCGGCTGGACCTGTCCTGCTGCTGGGTTTTCCAGACACCCCAGCTCATTGCATTGGAACTGGGCCCCTTGTGGGACTGGCTGTCTCAGAGCTGCTGTTTACAGTCTCAGCGCAGGTGGCCTCTGAGCCTCTGAAGAAGTGCTCGGGGGAGGCAGTTGGTCAGTTTAGAGGATTTTCTGGGGCCACCATTGGCCTCAACTGCATTTTCTCGTGTGGCCCAGCCCCACATGTGGGCCCGAGGCTCGTTTCACACACATGCGGACTGGTGTTTCTGGCCCAGCCTCCTGGCCCTGGTCTGTCTCACTTCTCAGTTGGAAAATAGGGCTGAAAACGTTATACTTTCACGTAAACATGCGGAGTCAGCCCGTCTGAATGCTTATCCCTGTTCATCTGTCAGCGGGATGCAGTGGGGTGGCTCTGTCGTCAGTCTGGGTCAGGTTCGCTGCTCCGTGAAGGTGGCTGTTGTGCAAACCCCGGGCTGAGGGGGCAGATCGTGCTGGCAGACAGCCGTGGTCGGAGAGCCCTCCTACCCCAAGCATCCCTCCTCCACGGAAGGGGTGTACGGGAGCCGTTGGCCCCACATCAGCGGTCTCCTCCTCTCTCCCAGGTGTTCGTCCGGAAGCTGCGGAAGGCCTATGGGAAGAGTGAGTGGAACACGGTGGAGCGGCTGAAGGACAACAAGCCCAACTACAAGCTCGACCACATCGTCAAGGAGCGGTGAGCCGGGGGTTCTGACCTGGTGCTGGGGGTACAGTGGGGAACGGGGCCGAGACCCTGCTCACAGAGCTGGCGTCCTGTTGGAGGAGGCAGACCAGAAAACAAACTGCCAAGTTGTTCTAATGGTTGCAAGTCCACACGAGTGCCACGAGGGATGCTCTCCAGGAAGGGAGCTGGAGGACGCACGTTAGTTACAGGCTTGTCAAAGGAGGTCTCTGGGGGAAGACAGTTGAGCCAGCCAGGAGAGGCATGGTTCAGGCAGAGCAAACAGCAAGTGCAAACGCCCTGTGGTGAGAGAGAGCCGGAGTCCTGGGGGTATGCGTGGGGTGCATGGTCAGTCCTGGAAGACGTGACTGGACACCTCTGATCTCAACTGTTTCTTGCCCATCCTTCTCAGCAGTCCCCGTCATTCGTTGACTAAATCAGTGGGGACACTTGGCAATGTCTGGAGGCACTTCTGCTTCTCCTGACTTGGATGGCAGGGGGTCTACTAGTATTTAATTAGTAGAGGCCAGGGATGCTGCTCAGCACCCTGTAGTGCACAGGACAGCCCCCACGACATGGGACAACCTGGCCCACAATGTCAGTGGTGGTAAGGTGCAGAAACTCTGGGCTAACTGAATGTCTGCCTTCTCTTGGTGGCTGTTGGCCCTGGGAACACTTAGCTCCAGGCTGGATGGACTTGGCTTCGTTGAGTCGGGCCAGCCATGGGCTAGCAGGGCAACAGCCTTGGCCTGGGAGCTCGACAGCAGGTGTTCTCACCCCAGCCCGTGGCCACGAGCTGGGCAGTCCACGAACTGCTCCTGCTCCGAGCAGGTCCTCCTCTAACAGAGAGATGACGCGTGTGACACAGCTGTCCTGTGGAACAAATGAAAAAAAAAAAATGCGCAAGAAAAAAGCAAGTGTCTGGATTCATGTGCACACTAGATGGCAGTATGGTGGCATTCCCATTCTGCGTCACCTCCTTCTCCTCAGCCCTTGCTTAAGAAAGAATGGCCAGTGCTGTTTCTAGGAAAGGCCCGGGTTGTTGGGTTTGTCTGTGAGGTGCAGAGCGAGGAAACTTCGAGGCACAAGAGGGGGCTGATTGAGTCTTTGGCCTCTGAACCAGGATACCAAGTGCCTCTCTTGTTCTGAGAGGTCCCTGCGGACCTTTCTTCTGTTTTGCTCTGTGTCTGAAGACCTGGCTGGCCCCTCCTGACTCATATTTCTCTGACCTCAGAGCCAAGTGGGCACATCCTGGTTCCGTGTTCCTCCGGAAGCTGTGGGGAGGTTGGCGCTGCCAGGCCCCAGGGCGTTGCCCAGCTCCCTGTTCAGGAGATGGCGGTGGCAGGGCCTGGGGTGGGGCAACGAGTTCAGGGGCCCCTCAGAGCCCAGGCTGTGCGACCCTACGAGCGCCACCCTCCTGGCCACGCAGGTACCCCACGTTCATAGATGCCCTGCGGGACCTGGACGACGCCCTCTCCATGTGCTTCCTCTTCTCCACCTTCCCACGGACCGGCAAGTGCCACGTGCACACCATCCAGCTGTGCCACCGGCTGGCCGTGGAGTTCATGCACTACGTCATCGCCGCCCGTGCCCTGCGCAAGGTGAGCCCGGGGCCACCCAGTGGGGCCCAGCCCCCCGCCCCGCACCCCCATGTCCTCACCACGCTGTCCCCGCTCCACCGCAGGTCTTCCTGTCCATCAAAGGCATTTACTACCAGGCCGAGGTGCTGGGCCAGCCCATCGTGTGGATCACGCCCTACACCTTCTCCCACGATGTGAGTGTGCCCACAGGGAAGGGTTGTGCAGGGACCGTTGCTCCCTCTCTGCTTCCTAGACAGAGATAATGGTGTGGGTGAAGGGGGGCTCTTCCTGTCCTGCAGAACCAGCTGGGTTCCTGAGTGCCGGACAGGGCAGTGGCGGGGGGGGGTGTGGTACAGAATTGTAACAAGAGCCCGAGCCAGCCTGACTCCAGTACCTTCTAGCTGGTTGACCTTGGACGTGTTCCCTTACCTCTCTGTGCCCAGTTAATAACATGCTTCCACCTTCTAAGCCTTGTTGTGAGGATTTGAGGGAAAAAAGCTTTAAAAGTGCCTGGTGCTTGGCCCTCGGGGGTTGCAGAACCAACAGTGAGCGGCCACCAGGGCCGAGCACTGCCTGTATACACGGCCCTGCCCTCCAACCTGCTAGGTGCTCACCCCGCTCTGCCACCCCCACTCCTGTGCCCCACCCAGAACTGGGGACTGTGTGAGATTGGGGAGGATGAGCACAAGAGGAGTACTACTTATTACTGGCACTATTTCTTACTCATCTTTCTTTTTAAGACTGTGAGAATTTTTGGCAGGATCCGTTGAGAGAAATCTTGGTTTGGCCTCCGTATGGGGGTTGTTAGCCTCTAGTCTCCCACAGGGTCTCAGGCTTGGCGCCTGACTTATCCTGCTGTGGGCCTGCATTTGGCCTTGCTTCCTGCTTGTGCCTTGAGTGAGAACTGGTGCCTTCAGTGGAGACTCAGCTGGACGGCAGGTTTGCTGGCCAGGCAGCGGGGGCTGGTGGTCTGGGTCCCCTGGGCCACTGCTGATTACTCTGGGCTGGGGGCCACAGGCTGGAACCCCCGCTGAGTGCAGAGCAGCAGTGACAATTGGTGGCAGCCTGTGGTCTTTGTGGGTGAGAGGTGCTCGGCCCTCAGCAGTCCCTGTGCCCACTCCCTGGGGGCAGGTGTGTGTGCAAGTCTGTGCTCTTCCTTCTTCCCCTCTCTGTCCCTCCTCTCCTCTGTCCTTCCTGCCTTCTCTGCCCTGCCTTCCCTCCTTCCTCTCTGCCCCTCCCTCTCCTTCCTTCTCTCTGATGTCCCACCCCCTCACTGCTCAGACTGGTCTTTGTCTGTACTGCCAGTGGTGAATAGGGCCCTGTGGAGGCCGGCCTCCACACAGCTGGCCCTGGAGGAACGGGGGAGGGCACGGGCCACCCCTTCCTCCTTCCTCTCTGGCCAGCTCACTGCCACTGCTTCCTCTCAGCAAGAGGATGGGGGACCAGCCCTGGGTCATATTTGGGGCCCCTGTGCAGCCAGTGCTGGGCTCCTGGCAGCAGGACCCAGGCAGGTAGCGGGGCCCAGGGGGCTGCTGTGCTGTGGGGCAGTCACCGCTCACGTGCTCGCAGGCCCGTCAAAGGCCCTGGTGGATGCTCATGGAAGGACTGAGGTAACAGTGGGGGACAGGTGGGGCACCTCTTGGCCCCTTTACCCCCACAGCCCAGTCACTGCCTGTTGGCAGGATGTAGAAACAGCTCAGCGTCACAGGCGCACAGGCACAGAAGGGATGCTGTGATCATTACTGATTTCATCATCGCTTGGCGTATCCCCCTGTCCAGGTCTCAGAAGTTGGCCAGGCTGGCCTGGCCTCTCTGGTATGCCAGGCAGTGCTGCTCAAGGGTCGAGGCACTTTGGTTTGGGTCTCAGATCCTTGCCCTGTTTTGTTTTATCAACTCCTCAAGGTTTAAGACGAGCCCTCCCGTGTCCCCCGCTTGCTCTGTGTTTTTGCCCCAAGCAGGCAGCATTTCTCAGGAGCTCCCTGGGGCTGCGCCAGGCAGCTGCCCAGCCTGTCCTGGGTCCTCGGGTTGTGCCTTTGTCTCCGGCTCGGGCCCAAGGCAGGGTTGCTGAATTCTGAGTATCTGTCCGAAGGCTCCTGCCAGGGCTCGTAGGTGCTGAGTGCCGCCCGCCCACTACCCCCACCCAGGCAGATGGGCTGATCCAGGGCCACCTTTCCCAGCCAGGCCCCCAGGTGCTCATGGGCTGGCCCCAGAAAAGACAGTAAATGGAAATTACGGGATGGCTAAGGGAGCAGGCGTGAGCGGCCTCTGCAAGAACAGAAGTCTGCCTTGCAGGGTGAAGGGGAGAGCTGGGGCAGGGAGCGGGGGCACCAGCCTGTCCCGGGAACCTCGTGACAAAGGCTTCCCTCTTCTCACTCCTAGCATCCCCTTTATGGCACGGGGATCTGGCACTGGTCTCCAGGACAAGCCTTGGGACCCTTGTCCAGAGCCTCACTGGTGCCCAGAATGCTCCTGGGTAGGGCCATGCCACACAGCCTCTTCTCCTGGGGCAGAGCTCCGAAGGCGGGGCCACCCTGGAGGAGCTCCTGGTCCTTGGGCACCTGGAGCCCCCACCCCACATGGGTTGTCAGTGCCATCTTTGCACTGACACTGCTGATGCGTCTCTGTGTCCCCAGCACCCAACAGACGTGGACTACAGGGTCATGGCCACCTTCACCGAGTTCTACACTACCCTGCTGGGGTTCGTCAACTTCCGCCTCTACCAGTCGCTTAACCTGCACTACCCTCCCAAGGTAGGCCCCGGCCCAGCCCAGCACCTTCTCCTCACCGGGCAGAGGCCACGGCCTCTCTCCCCACGTGGAGGTGGGGGCTAGGGGCATCCTCTTCCTCTGACCTTCCCCTTGCCTCCCAGCTCGAGGGTCAGGCTCATGCAGAAGTGAAGGCCAGCGAGGACACCTATGCTTTGGACTCCGAGAGCTCTATGGAGGTGAGAGAGGCTTCCAGCGTTGGCCCTGCATCCCCCAGAAGGGTGGTTCCTGGCCTGGGGGTGGAGGCGGTCATGGCTAGACAGGTGGTCTCAGGGCTTACCCTCAGAACCCAAACCCACTGATACCCGGCCAAGAACTGCCAGCGCTACCCCTCCCCACCCGCAAGCAGCATCCCTGAAACCCTGCTGCTTTCCCACAGAAACTGGCCTCTCTCAGTGCCAGTCTGGCCCGTGTGGTGGTGCCTGCGGAGGAGGAGGAAGCCGAGGTGGATGAGTTTCCTGCTGACGGGGTGAGGACTGCGCTGCCCTCTGGAAGCGGGGGTTGGGGAGGCGGGCGGACTGAGGGGTTTAGAAGGAAGCTGGGGAGGGGCTCGTCTCCAGCCTCTGCCTCCAGTGGGGTGCGAGCAGGCCTGATAGTGTGAGCAGCCCCTTTTCTCGGCAGGAGATGGTGGCGCAGGAGGACTGCAGGAAGGAGCTGGAGGCTCAGGAAAAGCACAAGAAGCTCTTTGAGGGCCTGAAGTTCTTCCTGAACCGTGAGGTGCCCCGGGAGGCCCTGGCCTTTGTCATCAGGTGGGGAGCCTGACGGCACTGGCTCTGCCATACTGGGCTGGGTCCTGCCGTAGACAGCGCAACCCTGGACGCCCATCGGTAACAATGGGCTGGCGTCAGTATCCGCTGCTTAGGGCTGTTGTGAGGATTCAACAAGATGGGTGTGGAAAACTCAGCACACCCCAAGCACGTGGAAAGCACCCATTAGAGGGCAGCTGGCATCACTTCCTCACCAGCTTAGGGCAGAAGGTCTCCCCTGGGCCAGCACTGGAGGCGTCGGCCAATTGAAGGGGGGGTTCCTGGGGTGGGGAGGGGACAGGTGTGTCCTAGGAGCGTGAGCTTGTGGGCCAGTGGGTTCCAGGGTGGGCACCTCATGCCTCAGTACCCTCATGGGCTCCCCCTGTGCCTGTAGGAGTTTTGGAGGGAACGTGTCCTGGGACAAATCTCTGTGCATTGGGGCCACATACGACGTCACAGACTCTGGCATCACCCACCAGATTGTCGACCGGCCTGGGCAACAGACCCCCGTCATCGGCAGGTAGGCCCCCAAGGCCCTCGTCTTCCTCCGCCTGTTTGGGTTTCTGGGGGCGGAGGTCTGTCTCCAGGCCCCTGCAGATGCAGTGGGGTCTCGGGTGGCAACACGGCTTTCTCTGCCCTCACCCTGCGCAGGTACTACGTGCAGCCCCAGTGGGTGTTTGACTCCGTGAACGCCCGGCTCCTCCTCCCTGTGGCAGACTACTTTCCCGGGGTGCAGCTGCCTCCACACCTCTCGCCCTTCGTGTCAGAGAAGGAAGGTGATTATGTGCCCCCTGAGAAGCAGAAGTTGCTGGCCCTGCAGCGGGGAGAGCACCCAGGTGAGTGAAAGGGAGCTGGGCAGGGCGGGGTGGGCAGGCTCCTCCAGGCTGGCCTCGGCTCCAGGGGCTTCACCTGGCTGTTTCCCTTCTTGGCTACAAAGGTGGCAAGCTCCAGAGAACAGGGCAGCAGGGGTACAAAGCCCTTTAAACTCTCATCGGAGTAACGTGGCTTAGGAGGAGGAAACGTTTGTGTCTTATAATCCAGTGTTCCTTGATGTCCAGAGTGACTGAGCAGAATGGTCTGGAAGTTCCACGCGAGGCAGCAGAGCTGAGGGGTTGGGGGCCTGGAGTTTGCTCTGAAGGCAGCTGGGCCTGTGGTAGAGGTGCCAGAGGGCCTGTGGTCAGGATGGCCCTGCTCTGCCTTTGGAACGTCTGTGCCAAAGAGGGTGGTGCCTGGCGCCAGTTCTCACGCCACAAGGGGAAGAGCAGGCTCCCGGGTGTTCGTAATCCTCGGCTGTTTGTAGGAAATTTGAATGAATCTGAAGAGGAGGATGAGGAGGAAGATGATGAAGGTGATGGTGATGAAGAGGGAGGAAAAGAAGAGGAGGAGGAAGAAGACAAGGAGGCTGGTTCGGAAAGGGAGGAAGAGGCCCGACTGACGGCCCCGGAGGAGCCGAGGCTGGAGGGGAAGGTACCAGGGAGTTGATTGGGTTCTCGGCCTGGGAAGCAGCCCCACTGGCCACCTTGGTGCCAGAAGGGTGGGAGCCAGGGGGCTGGAGGTAGAGGGTGGGGGTCAACCTGCAACCACAAGTGTCCCCCCTGTGTCCCCAGAAGCCCAAGGTGATGGTGGGCACAGTGAAGCTGGAGGATAAGCAGCGGCTGGCCCAGGAGGAGGACAGTGAGGCCAAGCGCCTGGCCATCATGATGATGAAGAAGCGGGAGAAGTACCTTTACAACAAGATCATGTTTGGCAAGAGGCGAAAAATCCGCGAGGTGAGTCTCCCCGCCGCCTGAGGCTCCAGCTGGGGCCGCACAGCTGAGCTTCGAGGCCGGCTGGCTCTCCCGGGCAGTCTCTGGGCCCTTTTCTAGCATTTTTCTGACGTTGTCTGCCTGCCTTGGGCATCTTGGTGTCAGTCTCCTTCCTGCATCCGGTGGTTTCTGAGTCTGCTGGGATTGGGGGCCAGAGCTGCTGCAGCAGACTCGGGGCCTGCACTTCACAGAAGTGCGTGAAGCTGGAAGGACTGTGGGAGGTTTTGGTTCAGCTTCTGTTTTGTTTCCTCTCATTCACAGAGCCACATATGCTCAATATAAAAGAAAAAAATTTTTTAAGAGAGTCTGTGCATGCCAGAACTTTGTAATGGACGCAGAAGTGGCTCACAGTCTTGCCCTTGGGGTGATCTGTAGTAACAGCCCCCCAGGTTTCTTTGTGCATGTGATAACACAGATGTTACTTGGGGGGCATTGTGCTACACACGCAGGCAGAGCTGGTTTCATGGCACTTAGCTTTATTGCACTTCACAGATAACGAGTTTGTTACAGATGGAAGGTTTGTGGCAACTCTGTGTTGAGCAAATCTGTTTAGCACCATTTTTCCAGTATTTGCTCATTTCATGTCTCTGTGTCACCAGTGATGGTAATTCTCACAATATTTCTGACTTTTTCATTATTATTATATTTGTCATGGTGATTTGTGATCAATGTTCTTTGATGTTACTGTTGCAAAAAGACTATAATTCACTGAAGGCTCAGACGATGGTTAGGTTTTTTTTAGCAGTATCGTATTTTTTATTAACGTATATGCACAGTGTTTTTAGACATAATGCTATTGCCACTTAACAGACAACCGCATAGCATAAACAGAACTTTTATATGCCCTGGGAAACCAAAAAATTCACGTGACTCCCTTTATTGCAGTATTTGCTTTATTGGGGTGGTGGGTGGAATCCAACCCACAATATCTCCGAGGTCTGCCTGTAGGTTGTTCTGCTGTGTGTTTGTTATTTAACCACAGCATGAACTGTCCGTGGCATCATACAGTGCATGGCCTGTTCCCTGCTGACAGGATTAGGTTGTCTCCCTTTTATAGTCGTTCTCAGAGAACAGTCCTGAGCACCTCTCTTCCTACCTCCAAGTGTCTCTGCAGGGTAAAATCTTAGGAGTGTAATTGCCAGGTTGAAAGGCCACCTGTTTTGGAATAGATAGTGCCACATGGCCCCGGGGAAGGACTGTTCCAGGTCGACCCCACCCTAGCAGCTCCTGGTGAAGGTTTGAATGGCCCCCAGCTTTCCCAGGTGAAGGGGGTCAGTGGGGCAGTTGCCTCCAGCTCTGGGAGCCTGCAATCCTCCTGACTTGCTGTGGGCCCATAACTTCACAGAGTCATAAAGGCAGGGGTGAAGGCACGGTTCCTCACCTGAGGCTCTTCAGAGGGGTTTGCTTTTTCCCCTTGGTAATTTGCCTGTTAGCTTTCCTGGAAGCTCTGCTTTTAAGGGGTGGCCTTGAGTGGCAGAAGGGGGAGTCCCCTTCCCCGACCTCCCCCCATCACAGCTTAATCCTCCCCTTCTTCCTCACAGGCCAACAAACTGGTGGAAAAGCGGAAGGCCCACGATAAGGCTGTAAGGTCTGAGAAGAAGGCCAAGAAGGCAAGGCCGGAGTGAGTGGTGGCAGCCTCGCCATGGGTGAGGCCAGCTCCCGGAGGCTGGACTTGGCACAGGGACCCAGAGGGCCTGGGCTTGGTGACAGACCAGGGTCTTTTCTGTTTTCATCCTTCTCCTCCCTCTGCCGGCCCTGGCCTCCTCTCAAGATCTCTGGCTGGGCCCATGGACAGCCCCAGCCTCGCTCGGATGGAGCTCCCTGCTGGTGGCTGGGCAGAGAGGCCTCTGCCTCTCCTTGACCCCGCAATGCTCCCGGGGGTCAAGCGACACAGGGGGCGGGACCCAACCAGCCCCTCACTGACTGTTCCCATTCACCCTGGCTTTCTGCGTCCCCTCCCCCACACGTACGGTTGGACCCACGATTTTCCCAGTGCTCTGATGGGGGGTAGGGTGGGGAAGCATTTGTTATTAAATGCTGGAGTTCTGCAGCCAGTTGAATTCTGTGTTCGTGAGCCTTTCTGGGGTTGGAGAAGGGCCACCTAGTGCTCCAGGTTGGCCAGCCCTCAGTATTCACTGAGAGGAGCCGGTCACTGCTCAGAGCTTTCTGGCTGCCTGTGGATCCCTTGGGGTCCAAGGGTGCCAGAAGGTAGGTGCACATTCCAGCCCAGAGACTTTTCCTCTGTGAACATGCTTCCTCACGTGTAAGCTAAGCGTAGAAATTCTGGAGCCTTCCTCCCAGGCATGTGTGAAGGGTTCACTGATAATGTTTCAGAGAGTCACTAGTGTCAGGTGTCTGGTAGGTAAAGTACTCAGCAAACACCAACCGTGATTGTCATCACTTCCTGCTGGAGTCAGCGTGGGAGGTAAAAGCCAGTGTCTGAAGGATCTATGGGGCCTGAGTTGAGGGTACCTAGCTTTACCTTGTGGGCTTATGGGCAGAGCTGCCAATGACCCCCAATGTGGCTTTGCCAGCAGCTGGACTTGTAACCCTGGCTGGGCCATCCTTATAGCTTCCCACTTGACCCTGGCAGTGCCCTTGCAGAGGCCCAAGGGGACATGCCCTTGCCTGGACTGCCGGTGCCTCATGGCAGAGCCAGGGCCACTCAACCCCTCCCAGGTCAGGCAGGGAGATTCTGAATGCCCCCCCAGGGTGCTCCTGTGGGCTGAGTGCTCTCAGGAGCAGGGCACAGGATGGGGAAGTATGGGTTTGGAACTGGGCTCCTCCTTTGCCAAATCTAGGCATTTGAGGGCCTTGGCCCTCTGCCCCTCACTCTGTAGAAGTGCCCAGGCTCTATAGAACTCTTTTGGGCAGTGTCTTCAGACCCACCCTGTGCAGGGGGAAGGCAAGAGCTTGGGCAGGCTCTCTGGCTGAGGGAGTGGAGAACCTAGGGCTCCTGTCTCACTGGGCCTCACCGTGGGTGTGCTGTGGGTATCAGAGAGAGATTATGTTCCACTCTGACATGCTTCATGGTGTGTGTGAGGGGGGTGGTCTTCTAGAGTCAGGGACAGGGTCAGGGTCTCTGGAGCCAAAGTCTGCAGCCCTAGGGGATAACTTGGTCCTGCCTGGGTGCATGTACATCCCAGGGCCACGGCAGGGGTGCCAGGGCAAGGCCAGAGAGCGGGCCCATCAGATATGGAAAAATCCTGGACTTCCCTGGTGGCACAGTGGTTAAGGATCTGCCTGCCAATGCAGGAGACACGGGTTCGAGCCCTGGTCCGGTAAGATCCCACATGCTGTGGAGCAACTGAGCCTGTGCGCCACAACTACTGAGCCTGCGCTCTAGAGCCCACGAGCCACAACTACTGAGCCCTCATACCACAACTACTGAAGCCCGCGTGCCTAGAGGCCATGCTCCGTTAGAAGCCACCGCAGTGAGAAGTCCGCCCACTGCAATGAAGAGTAGCCCCTGCTCACCGCAACTAGAGAAAGCCTGCGCGCAGCAATGAAAACCCAACGCAGCCAAAAATAAATAGGAAAAAAAAAAGATATGGAAAAATCCCTGGCAGTCATGCTAACGTGGAATTTTCCCCATTCCGGAGTCACCCAGTAATGGCAGGGGCAGTGGGGCTCTGACGTGGCTTATGCCCCACTGGGTGGCCAGCTGGTTTTGCACTGCCCACAGCTGGAGCTGAGCATTCTCAGCTCCAGGCAGGCACTAATCCCCATCCTTGGGCCTGCTCCTCTGGGGTGAAGGAGGGAAGCCTGGGACTGGAAAGAGTCAGATCCTGAATGCGGCACCTGCATCCTGATGGCACTGTGCTCAGTGATGGGCACCTTGGAGGGGGGGCGTCAGCTGAGACCTCCCGGTGGTATGACCACCCCTACTCCTCTCATCCACATTTCAGATGCTAAAAATGTGTCCCCAGTTTGCACTGACTTTAGAGCCACAGGCCATATCTTCCAGTGAATAAAGTTAAGCAGCTAGTGTAGCCTCCTCCCTTTTCCCAGAGCTGGGCTGCCCTCACCATCACCGCGCCACCCCGTTTCCCAGGCACCCTCGAATCCTCTACGGAGCTGGGAGCTCAGCCGAGCCTCAGGGTCCGGCGGCAGGACAATGGCCCCGTTGGCACATCCGAGACAAACGCGCCTTGTTGGGCCAGCGGCGGGGGCGCGACGCTGCGCCCCGGCGCGCTGAATGCGGCTTCTGTGCGACCCGGGCAGGCGCAGAGGGGAGGGGAGGGGGCCGGGCCCCGGGGCGCCCATTGGCCGCGGCGCCGGGGGGGCCGGGCCAGGCTGGCGGCAGCACCTGGCCGGAGAGGTTGCGGCGGCGGCGGGGGCGGGAACATGGTCCAGGCCCGGCCGAGCAGGGGGACCCGGCGGGTACGCCCCGCCGCCTTAGTAAGCGCCCGGGCGGCGCGGCCCGGGGCCGAGCCTGCACGCCAAGGCCGAGAAGGACGGGGACAAGGTACGTCCTGGGGGCCCAGCACCCATCACCAGATTGCGCCCTGCCTCAGTCTACCCCCTGGGGTCCAAGCCCGCGCTGCCCACGCCCGGAACTGGGGCTGCGCACGCCAGACTCTAGACCTGAGTGGTGAGGGAGTGCTACACTACCGCTTTGGGGCTCACGCACCTGTCCGAGCTGACAGAGGGTGGGAAGGCTGGGGCCTGCGGGGGGGCGGGGAGGGGGGTGGCGCAGGTTGGTGCTCGCCCGGCCCTTGGTTTCTTCCCCACGGTCCCATTTCCAGGGTTTACCCAGTCCTTGGTCTTGGGGCGGGTGGGGCTGGAGCTGGGCTGGAACTGGGAGTTCATTAATCATTAATCTTGGACATGGTGCCAGAGCCCTGGGGGAGGAGGGGCAGGGATCTTCCCTCTTCCCACCAGCCCTCCCCAGAAGAGGGGCCGTCAGAGCAGGGGCTGGGCATCAGCGTAAATAATGGATCCCCTCTGCCTGGGGAAGGCCCTGTCCTCTACCGCTTAGGGGGCAAGGCCACCAAGGAAAGGCTTGTGGGAGTGGGATAAACTCTGGTATCCAGGAATGGCCCCGTAGGTAACCCAACAGTTCCCTTGTTCCCTGGACCAGTGCTCAGAAAGGGGGTCCATCTTGGTCTGCCCCCGTTGGTGCCAAGCCAAGGTGCTTTGGTAACATTACAGAACAAGGCTGTGGTTCCTTCCCAGCAGGGACCCCCTCCCACCTGCCTAGAGCAGGAGAGGTGATGGGCACACATCTGGCTGCAGTAACCCACACCAGTGGGAGGGAGGGAGAGAGGGTGACAGACCTGACACCTGATCACCTGGGTTGCCCCGGTGACAGGTGCCATGGAAATCCTCAGGAGGACAGTCCAGTTCCAGAATCCAACCTCTGCCTTTACAAAGAGGGTGACATAAGGCCCAGAGACGGTAAGGCCATGGGCAGGCCTGAGCTGGAACAGACCATGTGCTGCTGCATTGTCCCTTGCCCCTCAGAGGAGGCATTGTTACTAACCCTATTATCCAAGGGGGGAAACTGAGTTTCAGGGGGATTCGGTGACTTGCCCAAGGTCACATAGTTCAAATGTGGCTAAACTGACTCCAAATTCAGTGGCTTGCCCGAGTCCCCATTTCAGGACCCCAGCGTTGCTCAAGATCTGTCTGCCCTTCTGGGGTCCTAGCCTCTTAGACCTTCCATGGCTGCCCCCAGCCCCCAGCTCAGGACCCCTCCCCCCTTGCCTCCCTAGCTCCCAGCTCTGCCTGACACTCGGGGGGTGGGCAGGCTGCTACCCTGGGAGCAGAGACAACAGAGCCCTGTTCCCAGCTGCCACCTCGGACTGCTTCCTCCCTGCTTCTCACTTGGGCAGAGCCCTGCCTGAAGGAATCCCTGTGGACAAAGAAGCACGCCTGCCTCCTGTGCATCCCCTTGTCTGATGCGCATGGGTCTGATATTTGAGGGCATGGGTCCAATCCAGCAAGGGAGGAGTGTGTCCTTCCCTCTAGGCTTTAAGGGACTAATTGTGTCACCCTGGTGAAAGAGGCAATGATTAACCTGGGAGAACGATACACAGATGTTGGAATTCCAGGCATGGCAACAGGCTTGTGAAGGGCTTCTTGCTTCCCTCAGACTGAGCAAGGAATATGGACCATCCCTGTTTAGGAGCCCTGTCCTACTCCAGACAGGGAGGGCAGGATGGAGCAGAGCGCCCATGGGGGTCAGCAGGCTGGGGTCAGGGGAATAGCCAGGTGAGGAGTGATGGTTCAGAGGAAGTGGGGTTCCAGAGGAAACATGCTTTCCTACCTGCCAGCCCCAGGGCAGAGATGGGGTGTGGCTTGGGCACCCCCAGATCTGATCCCAGTGGTGCCCAGACTTGCCATGGGACCCTAGGCAAGTCCTTCTCTCTCTGTGCCTTGATTTTCTCAGATGTGAAATCTGGGAGTCAGGGACCTTGGGTCTGGAGCATGGGAAGTATGGGTGCTTGGATGGGGAGGGTGGCCCTCCAGGAGATGGTACTGGCGGGTCCTGCCTCTCCTGCCAGGTGGATCTAGAAGGGTCATGATAATAACCCGAGGTGTGTGCAGAGGGCTCCTTATGCCTCACCCCGTTTGATCCTCACAGCAAACCCGTGAGAAGGTTGAAGTATCCCCATTTGTTAGGAAACCAAGGCTCAGAGAGGGGAGGTCACCTGCCCAAGGTCGCCCAGCTGGGGAGCTGGGATTTATAGGCAGACCTCTCCAGGATTAGTGAGGCGGGCGGGAAGATCCAGGGCATTGTGCATAGCAAGTGCTCAGCACCTTTTAAAAAACCTTTATATTTTACATATTTTTATGCAAACAAGTGCATGATATCCCTTTAAAAAACATTTCAGTCATGCTAGAAGGTAAGGAGAATGATACTACCAACTCTCACATACTCACCTGAGGGCTTCTCAGTGATTTTGAAGCTAATAAAGAAGGGACTGACTACTTGCTTAACATGTGTTTTGCCACTCTTCAGTTAGAGCTACTTTGGGGCGACTCAAATCTGCCATCAGGAGGGGTGGTGATTTTGCCTGGACAAAGCAGCGAGGCAAGACCTGTGGGCTTGCTC